AGGCAGCGCCTGAACTCAAGGAACAACATGTTCAACTGGAAGGGGATTGGGGTGTGGAGTCCTGCAACGTTCCCCTTCGTGAAGACTCTCAACATCAACAAAGCAAGCACCAAGCGCACGGCCAGGACGGTGCTCATGGCCAGTTGAGAACTCAATCGCGTGACACGCGGTGAGGACTCGCTCTGGGAATGCGCTACCTGCAAATGCTGCAGCGGATGACAGGTAGCACAGGCTGAAGACTGGAATTGCCAAACACAACAAAGGCAAACCGCCTGAGCCAAGCGATCATGACTTGATCACATAGTTTTGATGTCAGTGAGTCTGTCGGACTGCTTGCATGTGTGGCTAATAGAAATAAACATATATATATATGTGTATGTATGTCTATATGAGTGGACAGTGTATAGTAGCAATCATGTGTGTAATATATGTAAAAAAAAAATATATATATATGTATATATGTATAATAGTAAAAATCACCATGCGCACATCAAAATCCCGAAGTCGGCGCGACGGGTGAAAGCAGCAGCCTTTTCCTTGAATTTCAAGAGCGCTCTGCGGTTCAGCAGGGTGCCAGTGCAGAATGCAAACAGTGACCTCTCAAGCTACAAGTGCATGCCGTCACGGCGCTGGCTCTGTGGAATTTCAGACCCCTTTTTAGCTTGAGAGCTCACTTCTTCAGACCTCTTCACGGTCTTTCGCCGCTTTCGTTCGGCCCGAATCGCCAATTTCCTGGCAAAAGCTTCAGCGTCCGGACAGTTGTCACACGCTGGCGTTCATCACCTGCAGCAAACGTTCTTGGTGTCACCGACTTGAGGAACTTACTGCTCCGTCTTTGATCTCGGGCCTTCTCGGAACAGCTCATCTCTCCCTTGACAGGGGCTGTCCAGCACTGGCGGCAAAGCTGGTGAGGATGCAGTTCTGACAGGGAACTTTTTCGTTTTGTTGAACCTATGCTGAGCTACTGGGCGAAGGCTTCAGCGACGTGATGATCTTCATCATAATCGGGGAACTCGAACCCTCATTGCATGAACCTGCAGGGGCTTAGGACGCTGGTATGCTCTTCGGGCCCAATCCTCCAAGACAAGGTAGCATCATGGCATTCGCGTTCTCCTGCAGCCTTCGGAAATCTTGTTCTCTCCTCACGATGGATTGCTGCATCGTTTCATTGGTCTTCCCCACACACACACACACTTAGGATAGGGTGTACTGAACTGAACGCGGTGCCACACGCCGGCCTAGGTTACCATTGCCTAAGAGTACAGGTAAGGGAACCTGAAAAGGAAGTGGAGGTCCATCAAGTTCAGTGTGGCCGTCAACTCTGAGCAGGTACAGAAGTTTGCGCCCAAACTTCCATCCAGTCGATTTCCATAGCTTCGTTGGCGTCCCTGTGACCACAAGGGGTACACACACACACACACACACACACGCCTCCCCGAGGAGAGGCACACCCCCCCAAGCGCCAAGCCGGAAAGGATGGGTGAAACTAATGAAACTGGCGAAGTTCACGAAAGGTTTGGTAGGCTGAAGGCTGTGAGTGGAAGTCGCAGTTGGCAAAAGGCATCGTCATGAAAACGAGCGGCGACCGTGTGGAGTTGTCGAAAGGGGAAAGGGGGGCCTCACATGAAAACTCAAGTGGTAGAGAACAAGATCTTCAAGAGTGCAGGTACGCGGGACTTCCCATACGCGAGAGTCGCCCGTGGAAGGGGGGGCCATCCAAAAGGGAGGGACGCTGTTGTCCGATCTGGGAATCATCACGTCCTCGCGCCTAATCAGGCCAGGAACCCTTAGTAGCGTCAAAGTAGTGACCTTGCAACTAGTCGTAAGGCCAGGAGCCCTAGTAGCACCCCACTCTAAGGTCCTGACAGGAGGGAGGAGTAGGGAGAGAAGAGAAGAAGAAGAAGAAGAAGAAGAAGAAGAAAGGAAAGGGGAAGAAGGTGTTCCCAGCTACGACACAAGCGTCCAAGGACACACCAAGAGGAAAGAAGGGTTCCCAGCTATGACGAAAGCAAGGAGGGAAAGGAAAGGAAGGAGAAAAGAGAGAAAGGGAAAAGAGAGGAAGAGGACAGGTGCCCCCAGCCAAGCCGGAAAGGTTGGGTGAAATCAATGAAACTGGCGCGAAAGGTTTGGTAGGCTGGCAAGTGGCATCATCCCGTAAACGAGCGGCGACCGTGTGGAGTGGTCGAAAGGGGAAAGGGGGT